AAATATTTAAAAATTAAAAAATGTTTAAAAAAATAATTTCAAAATTTTTAAAAAATAGTAAAATTAATTTTATAAAAACTATTTTTTGTGTATTAAAAAATCTGGAAATTTTAGAAACAAATTTTTTTTGTTATGAGAAATTACAATTACGTAATTTTGATTTTTTTATCTCGTCCTATTAATAAATAATTATAATGCAAATTTTAAAAATTTAATTTCCTACATATTACACGATACTTATTTGCATTACATATATAATTTATTATTTTCAAAATTATAATATCATTTTCATTAAAATATTTTAATATTAAAACTTCAATAATGATATTTAATTATAAAATTAGAATAATTAAGTTATAAAATATTGAAAAGATAAATTGAACTATTTCTTTTTTTTAATGCTTATTGGTGTTCTAATAAATTTTTAAATAAAATATATATGTTTCGATAAAGTAATAAAAAATAAAAAAGAAGTAAATAAATTATAAACAAAAAGTTGGAAAATTTCAAAAAATAATTTTAATATATAGTATTAACAATGAAATATTTGTATAATGTAAATATGAATATTTCTTGTATTTACGATTTGTATTTATTTATTAATCTTAAATGTCTTAGATACCTCGAATGCATTAGAGGAAAAGCATTTTCTCTTTAGCAAAGAAGATTTGGCAGGAAATACATAGCAACCGACAATACATAAATCATACTAATGTTAGTTGCCAAATGATAGTACTAATTTTAGTTTTAGTTGAAGCTTTGGTTATTTTAATTTTTGATTCTTTGACTATTGCGTATTTTAACAGAAGATTATTTAATGTTACAATATATACACAATATATATACAAAAGAATATTACATATTCGTGAAAAATTTTTAAAAAATTATAAAGACTAAAACAAAAATAAGAATTAGTATATAAAACTATCATTTAAATTTTATTTATTAAATTATAAGTTATAAGTAATTGAAGATTACATTAGACGAAGTAAGACATGGATATAATGAGATTGCTTTGTCTCAGTTTCACTGCCATTGCATTCTATTCCTATCTTATTTCATTTAATGAATTTAATTATTTATAACTTAATAAATAAATCTCAATAATATTTATGTAATTTTTATGTTTATTTTGACTTTTAAGAATTCTCTAAAGATATTCTTAGTCTAGATTCCTATTAATTGATTTAAAAATGTAACTAAGTTCTTTATTTTTATTCTAGTACTGAATGTATAAAATCAGAAAGAAAAGAGTTGTGATTATTTTTAAATACCATATAAATAATGATAACAGATGAACGTAACTAAAGTTTCTATTTTTTTTCTTATTCAAATTTGTTATTAAAGATATTGTTAATCATTATCTATTGATAAATGATATTTCATTGTTTTTTTTATAGAATCAAATCGATAAAATATCAGTAACACAAGTAGCTTAAGTAAATTATAATATATAATTACAAATAACATTTTCACATGACTTAATACTAACATTTAATCAATAAAAGTAAAAATTTCAATCATTTCTCTCCGTTAATCATATTATCGATATATTATCAAAAATTGTTAAAAAATTATTGACAAATATTGATAATATATCGAGAATCAATAGTTATAACAGAGATAAAATAATTAGAAAAATGTGAAAAGAGAAACATATAAAATGAAAAAGAAAAATACTATTTCATATATATTTTATTTGTCAAAATTGCAAATCAGTTTCATCAGTATGAAACTATCATTCTAAACGAAAGATATACAGATTATTTATTGATATTTATATTCAAAGAAACAACAATTAATCTTATCAGTTGTGAAAGAGATGATGAGAATAAATGATCTAACGATGACAGATTAAAATACTATCAAATATTGACTCTTACGTATTAAAATATATGTATATGTGACAATATATGTATACATGTATATTCATTATTGCATTTTAATGCTTACAATGTTCAAGCTGCTTTTTTATGAATGACATAGAATTCCAAGTAAAGCAGATATCAATGTTTTCGTTTGATTATTTTTTAAAATTTTAATTTTTTTTATGAATTTATCTTTTTGTATCAATACTTCTAGGTAAATATTAATCTATAATCATTTTACATGAAGTAATTATATTTGTCATAGTCAAACTCGTGTTTTGTGGTTTAAAGAATTTATAATAACTGAAATATTAATTTTTCTTAATAACAACATCGAATAAAAATATTTGTTTTAAAAAAGAACAAATTGTAATTTTTATTTATAAATTTTTTTTTAATAGCTAATATTTGTAAATTTCTGAATTTAATAATAAATGATAAATCATAATTTTATAAAAATTAGAAATTCAATTTTTTTCATGATATTAGATTTACATAGTTTTTTTTACTCTTTGCGTAGTTTCAATTTTTTTTTTTTTACAAGATCTCAAATTGTGTGTTGATTTCAAATTATTTATGATTTTTGTAAAATTATAATAGGAAATTTTAGATAAAAAATTAAATAAAATTCTGAGACTTTGACTTATTAATATAATAATAAATAATAATATAAATAATATTATGTATAATAAAATATTAAAAATAAAATTTAATTATCTATTATTTTATACTTCAATAATAGTTAAAATGTTCATATTTATATTCAAATATCAATATATTTTTTAAAATGTGATAATTACAACAAAATTATTTCATAATATTATCATTTTATTATTATA